AGCATAAGAGTTTAACTAGGGATCAGGAAGGAAGGAAGAAAGGAAGCTACCCTATATGGAGTTAGACCATTGTTTCACTTAGCTGTCTTTGTGTGTGTGTGTGTGTGTGTGTGTGTGTGTGTGTGTATTTCACAAACTGGTACAGGATCTTCATAGTTTCAGTCATATGTCTCAGAGCCCTGCTGGAAATGCTATAGATTGAACTGAAGACATTTTTTATTCAACTTAGAAACTGACTGTTATCTACTGGGGGAGGAGGAGACAGTGGCTACATCTGTAATAATAATTTGGAAGAAGGAGGAGGAGGAGGAACTGTCTAATTTTTTTAAAAAAAATATTGTACGCTGCTCTGAGAGCCTTTGTGGCTGAAGAGCAGGGTATAAATACTCCAAATAAATAAATAAATCTGGATGGGCCGAATAACACATCCTCCCCACCACCTCCTCAGTCCTCATGGCAATCAATTCAGATGATACAGGGCCTATACCTAATTCTGGTGCAAACTGCCCTGAGGATGTATGGCCAGTTGAGCACCAAACCTATGTTATAACACCCTTAAAATGGATTTTAAAAATTCACCTTTTGTTCCAGATCTTCCCAGAAGATCTGGAGCCCTTCAGAGTGATGTTGGGTGGCTGTTCACATGCATGTCCTGGTATGCTGCCCACTGCTGCAGCTGGCTCAAATCACTCCCTCTGCGGTCAGAACAAGATGTCCAGTCATGTGATCAATGCTGGGTGCCTCATTTTCGACTTCAGAGGGAGCGACTCATACCAGCCGCAATGGATGGCACAGCAGGGCACGCATGTGAACAGCCATCTGGCATCACTTTGGAGTGCCTAGGTAACAGGAGAAATGCTTTGAAGCTAGGATACTCTGGGCTGCTCCCAGAGTATTCTGGCTCATGTAGAGGTAGTTTTTGGCTCACTAGATGTTACTGCACTACAACTCCCTTCACCACTGACTACTAGCCATATTGGCTGGGAGGGACTGACAGGAGTTGGAGTCCAACAACATCTGGAGGGCCATAGGTTTCCCCATCCCTGATTTATACTCTGAAGAAGACTGGTGTCCTGAGCAAGGCAGCAGTAGATTCTTCAGTCTTTGTGGTACAGGACCACATTTCCGAGGTACAACTTAAACACAGGTCTCATTCACATTACTTTCACAAAGTGCATACAATTACAGCACTTTGATACCACTTTACTATTCCTGCTTTCTATGGAATCCTGTGCTAAAGGATTTAGTTGTTCAGGAGACTACAAATCCTAGGTTTCCATAGAATGCAGCTAAGATGTTATATAATGGTGTAGTTCAGGGGTAGGCAACCTTTCCCCTTTAAAGGCCAAGGGACTTCAGCTCCCAGAAGCCTCAGCCATGTTGGCCAATAGTCCCATGTTGGCCAATAGCTCCTGGGATGCTGGGAGCTGGAGTCCCTCGGCCCTTAAAGGGGAAAGGTTGCCTACCCCCGGTGTAGTTTGAAAGAGACTACAATTTTCAAAAGGGATCTTGATATAGTTTACAGAATACAAAACCTTGTGCAGAATTTCATCCTGTATTGAAAGGTACAGGCTAGTACAGACACTACAGAATGGGACTGGTCCCAGGCATTTTGCTCTCTGAGCTAAAGAACAACATAGGGGGGTTGCAGACTTCCAGAAATAGTGCAAATTGAGTCCACTTTTAGGATTAGGGTTAGGGTTAGGGAATCATGGGAACTGTATTTTATTGTGGCACCAGAGCTCTCTGTCAGAGAAGGCTCAATGTCTCAGGGGAAAAAAACAATTCCCATGATTCCCTAGCACTAACCCTAACCCTAAAAGTGGACTCCATTTGCACTATTTCTGACAGTCTGCAACCCCCCCATAGTGCCCTTTTTCACAAGCTACATAGCAACTAAACCTTATTTTTGCTATGGCAATAGGATCGCATTTGCTACCATACAAAAGGTATCTGATTAGTTTAGGAACCCCAACATGGGTTGTGTACACAGTTCTGTCACCCAACAGTAGGTAAGTGCTGGAGTGTTTGGGAGGAAGAGCTGATGGTTGCTACTGCCATCCTCTCAGCATCTGCTGCCTGTAGTCGCCTCACTCTGCCTAATGATAAAGCCAGTTTTGCAAGAGAGCAGGGCTGAAAAAGCTTTAAATATATCAGGATTAAGTGAGCATGCTTACAAGGCACATCCACTGCCTTTTGTGGTGAGTGAACTTTGCTGGTTTCCTCCTGGCATGGATCATGTCTAAGGACGTTATCACACTGGCCCTAAAGCAGCGTCATTTCAG